CTACTGTCACACCATATACATGATGAATAAACAAATATCTTCAAAGACATGCCTCTAGTATTGTATCTTCCTAAAATACCAGTACTACTACTGTCACACCATATACATGATGAATAAACAAATATCTTCAAAGACATACCTCTAGTATTGTATCTTCCTAAAATACCAGTACTACTACTGTCACACCATATACATGATGAATAAACAAATATCTTCAAAGCCATACTTCTAGTATTGTATCTTCCTAAAATACCAGTACTACTACTACTATCACACCATATACATGATGAATAAACAAATATCTTCAAAGGCATACCTCTAGTATTGTATCTTTCTAAAACACCAGCACTACTACTGTCACACCATATACATGATGAATAAACAAATATCTTCAAAGGCATACCTCTAGTATTGTATCTTCCTAAAACACCAGTACTACTACTACTATCACACCATATACATGATGAATAAACAAATATCTTCAAAGGCATACCTCTAGTATTGTATCTTCCTGCCACTCTGGGCCTAGTAGCATCACTGGTTTTTCTGTATTTGCAGTGTCCATAGGATAATCTTCATGACCTTCACAGGAGCTAGTTGAGTAGTGACACATTTTTTCAGAGTGACTAGAATGTGCTTGTTTCTTACCTCCTGAAAGAGTAGTTTGGTAATCTAATTCTCATTGAGAAAGTAAAAAACAAAATGCATCAGAGCAACTTTTTATAACAGTCCATCAGTGGTGCACCTATACTTGTATCCATAAAATAAAAAAAGTCGAATATTTTTTAACAATTCTTAACTCTTTTGACATGGGCTCGGTCATTTTGACTATCCTTATAGCCACCAGGTAACCATGAAAGTACCCATACAATAACTCTTAATGCTGTACTCATATCTTCACAAAATTTGAAAAGCTTTCAATAAAAATTAAGTCTTTTGTACATGAAAAATCATATTTATTAATTATGTGTTTTGACTAAAGATTTGTCTGTGAATAAATGAAGTCAAAGTGTTGACTAGTCTGAATGCAAAGTGATTTTTATATTAAGATTAAAAATTTATTTATTTTTTCTCTTATAGGTTTCAAATTTAATAGCCTCTGAAACCTCCTAAATGAATATCAAACATTTTATTCAGTAAAACTTTATATTTTGTCTGTTATTTTCTCTACTCTAAATCTGTACAAACCCAATCAATTTGACCATTCTTGTAACAATCACAAAAATTACGAGATAAATCTAAATTTTGCTTTTTCATTTTAGAATGACTGCAAATTGTAACATGAAACTACACTTGTTTATCCTAAACAGCTAAAGGCTCATAACAGTATAGATCTGCTTATATTTAATTTCATTGTTTTAATGCTCTTTTAACCATTTCTACCTAACAAACTTTCCACACAAGTTATAAATCACTCAGCAAATGTGTAGCTCACATTAACCTATTAAAGTGCTTAATACACAAGCTGCTTGCTAGCATACCTAGTAATGAATTTCTATTATTGTTATTGTTTTTCATTATTTTACCTAATCTAATCTAACCTTACCTAACCTAATAAGTTTCTAATTTTTATATTTTATAATAATAAATAAAGAAAACATGAAAAACAAGAAATACAGTACTTAACTGTGTCTTCTTATTTTTTACTATTGACTGTCAAAGAAATCTAAGCCTACTTTCTTATACTAATATAAAATAATTTGTATTCAATTAAATAATGCATTTAAGAACAGAAAATAATACATGCACAAAGCAAATAATGTTCATTGACTATTATAATTTAACTGGCTTTCTAACTATACGATAAGAGCCTTTAAAAACTCAACTAAGCTTGTTGATGTGAATATCGTGAGAGAATCTTTCAAACTAAAGGTGAAATAGACAACTCTCTGTACAGAAAACAACATAATATGTCACTTGACAGATTAAAACTTTGGGTTTCTATTGGCTATAAATAATATAGTATAAAACTTCAGAGAGAATTATTAGCAATTTGTGAAATAGAGGATGTGACAGATGGGTTTAGCAAGTGGGTCTGATTTTCTAGTTTATAGCTCCATAAACAATTAAGTTTGACAGCAATAAAATTATGCTTCAGCTGAGTAATATCTACATTATAAATGAGTAACTTATATAAAATTCTGTAATTCTGTAAATAAATTACAGAAGAGGGAAGACCTAGAGAATAAATGTCACAATTTTCATACAAGCAAATATTGTTTTTTTTAATATTACCTTATAAAATTAACAATATAAAACTTTTATAGTATTAAAATTTGATTTATTAACTATGTTTTGATGCCAAGTTTATTTACATAAAGTGTTAATAAAGTAGTTTAATTAATTTTGAATGTAACTCTAAAAAGTAGTGTGACGTGCATTTTGACCTACTTGTAGTGAGAGGGTTAAAGGTATGTTAAGATAGGAATTTAGACTTGAAGGATGTGGATGGTAAGGTTTGTATTGAAAACTATAAGATAGCTGAGCTTTTAAGTGTTTTCTTCTATTCGGTTTTTATAAGAGAGGATGTTAACAATATTCCTCATTCTGGGAATACTAGGGAAAATATTGGAATTGAGAATTTTCTTTGTTTTTTTTTTTGGATATTCACACAAAGCTACTCAAAGTCTATCTGCTCTAGTAATCCCTAATTTTGAAATAATAGACTAGAGGGAAAGCAGCTAATGAGCAGCAGTCACTGACAACTCTTGGGTTACTTCCATCTAACTAAATAGTGGGATTTAACCATTAACCATTAAATGTAATCATAAGCTCTGAAGTGCAGAGCATGATTTTTTCTTGGTGGTAACAGGACAGGAACAATGGACCTGCAGATCCATAGTTTAACATGCTAACTACTGGGCCACAATTAGCCCACTGTTTTTGCATATTCTGCAAACTGCTTTGAAAAAAAAAGTACCTTTAATTCATTTTGGATAAGTCATTTAAGCCACCAAAGCAGTGTGAGGTTGCTAGTAGCAAAGATACTTTAAAGAAATAATTATAAAAAACTTTAAAAACACATTTAAACATCTTCAGCAGGGAGGAATTCGAAATAATTATAACCATAATACTAAAAAACTTTGAAATAATGTTACTAATATTTTAAAATCAAACCATAAGAGTTGTCTTGGAAATCTTACTTTCATAGTGGAAAAAAATTCAAGAAAATCTGATAAAAGAAGTTTTGTGAATTGAGCTAGTGAAATACGATATTATGAAAGAAAATGAACATGGATTCATTTAAGGAAAATCTTCCCTTACTAATCTTTTAACTTTCTTTCAAGTATGTTAAGTGTTATCTGGATGATGGTAAAGATGTGGACTTGGTGTACTTAGATTTAAAAAAAAGCTTCTGATAAGATACCACATCTTTAAGTGAGATACACTTGTGTGATATTTTTCTAAATTTCTATGCAGTTTCTGCAGGTACTTGTTCATAAATTGGAAGTTTAAAGATCATAAACATGTGTTAATCCTCTTGCATTTGTAAAAGTTACATGTTTCAGTCTTTCTCCTTGAGTTGAGTTGGCTGCATGGGTGTCAGGGAAGTCTATACACACAGATCAATATAGAAACCTGTGTGACTATCTTGATTTGAATGTTGACTGTTGGTCAAAGCAGATAATCTTGGGAATTAAAATATACTGCTCTTGTAACATGGTATAATATTACAGCACTGTAGGAGAATTGTCTCTGCCTCATGCAGATGTATTCCATCTTCAGCCCCAGCAGTCAAACAGAAATAAGGAAATCAGACAGCTAAGTCCTTATGTACCCTATTCAGTAAATAAAGATCTGTTTTATTTGTACAATTTTTTTTCTTCCTTTGTTGCCTGACTTTGATTTATTCATGACATCTAGCATGTTGCTCAAGGAGAACAATTATATTTTGTGAACTGCATTTAATTCTCCAGTTTGGCCAATAATGTTTCATTTTTATGTTTAGGGTAAGGATGTTCCTTAGATAAGGAAAGGGGACTGTAATGACTAAAATAATCAGGAAATTCACCCTTCCTTAACTAGCACAGAATACATTTTTAGTTAGCTATATTAAGGTAATTTTTCTAAATTTTTGTACAGGTGTTCTGCATGTAGAATGGCATTCTTCACAAACAGATGATGAAAGGTTGTAAACATGTACTAATCCTTTTACTCAGATAAAGTTGCATGTGTCAAAGGCTAAAATTTCATATCACTTTGATCTTGTGTCTGAAGAACCAGAGAATTGGCAAGCCCTTCTCAAAGGGTGGTTCAGATACTTGTACAAATTAATATGAATGAGAGGGTTTCTTCTCTACAAAAGTCACTTGAAATAGTTATAGATGAACACAATGTTGGATTTGATATATTGCAATTTTAAAGTTTTGTTTGAATTTTAGCAGTAAATCAGAATCCCCTTTGTCTTTGTCCTATGAAGACATGATATAAAATTCCTTTTTTCTTTATCCTGTGTGGATCTTTCAAATACTCCTTTCAGCCCCGGCAGTCAGTAAGTTGTAGGAAAGTTGTAAGCCAGCCAATAGATAAAATAAACAACTATTGTGAATAAATATTTTATTTGTTTACTTGTGTTTCTTTCTTTCCTGTGCTGTCTGTGTTCAATTTACTCTTTGCATTACATCTGCATTTTATGGATACTTTTAAGCTATTCTGTCAGTTATCAGTGGACCCAAATACCATAGACCAATTAAAAAGTAGTGTTTCGAGGTTGTGTCCAAACGACTTGTTATCACAGTTTATTTTGAACACTACTTTTTCTGTTTGATTCTCTGTTATTGTAACATTTGTAAATCATGGCCATGAAACAGTACTTTTTAAGAGCATATAATAATTATGGCACAGAGAGGGAAGCCACAACTGGAGTAAGGTGTAAATTTGAGAATGCGAGAACCAGGAGAAGCACTTTCTTAGTCTTAGAGTTTTTGCCAGCAATGTCTGAATTCTTGATCTGTCCTCAAGATCATGAGGTTGATAGGTTTCTCACTTGGTTTTCTCAGTTGCATAAATCACAACAATTTACAATGGTCACTTCATGCATACTGAAGCACAGAAAAGTAAAGAAAAGTCATGGTGTCTTTAAGCAGCCAGAACATCCCTAGTCCTACTGGGGTGGTCCCTATGGAACACTAAGACACTTGTTAACTAGCTCAAGAATCAGAAAGTGCTGATTCGAGTCACCTATGGCTAAGGAAAGTGGCAAAATATGCATGGAATGAAGTTCAGCAAACTTCATTGCAGCTGTCAGATGCAGAAGGTAGCATTTTGCTACAATTCAGCATGTTTGAGATAGTCTGGAGCTTTCCAGGCCAGTGAGACATACAACCAAGGAAACAGTGGAAATTGACAAAAAAGTGTGGGAGCATGTCATGTCACCAAAACAATAATGATGTTGCATGTTAACATATAATGAGTTATCCCAAGGATTTCTCATTCCTAAGGATGTGCACATCTATAGACTTTTGAATGAAGATGAAGGACTTCCCCAAATGCACACAGCCTCTCAGCCATGCATCATAAGAGAAGCTGGTAGCAGGTTCCTTTTAAATGCCATCTTATAATTAGGTATGTGAAATAAGTAAGTAAACCATCCAATGTTTGAGGGAATTACAAAGGACTTGAGCTGTTTACAAAAACATTTCAAGCAAGTTTATTCTTCAGATGGATGGACTCGAGATAGGCAGTGTAACATTTGATACTAAGTCTTGATGGTTCTGAGCTCAATATCTTAGAGCATTTGGACAAGCACTAATTTAATACATAAGAGACAGCTGTCAACAAATATTAAATTTTTTTTGTACTCCCAATTATAATTTTTGTTTGGGAAGAAGATATATTTCAACTTCTCATCTGCCTAAATAAAACTTGTCAATATAAGAAACAACTGTAAATCTGTGATCTTTGCATGTTCATGTTTGCGGCTTATTTGTAAAACTTATTATCGCTTATGTGAAAAACTGTAAAATTCAACTACCTGCATTTTTTTATTTTGCAATTTCCAATTTTTAAAGCTTACAAAATCATAAATACAAAATCTAAAGGATGAATTTACTTTCTTTATCACAATTTATTTGCTGTGGAGCTAGGGTTCTTTCTGATATGAATTGTAAATTTCTAAACTTAAAATATATCAGAAGCCTTTCTTTAGACAAATTTCTTTAAAAAAGTCAACTAAATCATTGTTTTATTTATTTTCGAATAATATGTAAAGTTAATAAATTAATTTCATTAGCCTCTCTGCTTTTTAAAATATTTTGCTGAAGTAATTTGATGGGTGATTTTTGCTTTAAAACAACTCATGCTGATAATTTGAAACTAATGAAGTTCTTAATATAGACTTTACCCCAGAATGAGTTTAGAGATTAGTGGGAACTCTCTTTCAAACAGCCATATACATTTTCTTAATAGAAATACACAGAAACGTTTTATAATAGCACATTACAAGATATATTACAATATATTTATCTTATCTTTAATGATATATGAACTATTTTATTTTACATTTCTTTCAACAAAGATTTTGTTAGGCCTGTAATTATGTTTTTCTTATTCAAAAAAGTTGTATGCTTGTTGGGCTGAAACAGATAAAGAAAAAACAAAAAAAAAGTTATGCAAAGATATAAAAATTAGCCTAAATGTTAAACATAAGTCAAAGTTCTCTTTATGGGACAATTACTTACCTTATAAGATGAATAATATAATATAAGAATAAATAAGAAACACCAATGTTTTCACAAATTCATAGATTGTAGAACAGGCATATGTGAATCTGGCTTTCAGTTCAATGGTTCCAACCATATTGCATCATGACATACTGTCACACAATGTCTTGTATTTCATTGTAAATTTACAAAAAACATTTAAATACAAAATCTTTCAATGACTATCATGTTTGAAGTAACTGTGTTTCATATACAGTTATGTTTAAGAGTTACTGATTATTATACATGCAAGTGCAGACATTAATATGCTGCCACTGGAATAGAAAGAGTTAAAGCTTAATCCTGCCCTTCCAGGAAGGGCTAAAAGCATTTTATAATCTTGAGACTTAGAATTAATGCTCATTTAGGTCATTTATATCAGGCAGTAAAGTCTGTAAATATTCAAATAACAGAGTGTTGAATATACAAGACTGTTTAGTGTTTAGTTATTTTGTGATAATGATTAATATTTAATGGTTGTTTAGTTTCAGGACAGAAGTGTTGAAGATTGATCATTTTAAGTGTTAGTTGTGACAAATTTTGTTACATAACTCTCTATGAGTCATATGTTGTGTTTGTAATTACATTGTTGTCTAGGCTTTACTAATATTGTTGACATCATGTTACATGCTTTTCTCATTACCTTAACTGAGTATTGTTCCATTATAGCTTTGCAAAGTTTGTCAAAAATCTGATGCCTCAGTGACAATGTATAATTATAGGTGATCAAGTGAGTGCAAGTCAAGTTGAGTAAAAGTGAAGTGAAAGTAAAAGTTCAGTCAGAAAAAAGAAAACACAAAGTTAGCCAGTGTGCGAGTGATTAGCCATAACAGGCAATATCTTAAAGAGTGTTTAATAGAGATAAAAAGAGTAATTTGTCTTGTCAAAGGGTGTTCTAAAATAATTGAACCCATCTGTGTGGACTATGACGAAAAGGAGACAAATACTTAAAGTTAGAGATACAACTAAGGTAATTCACAGAGTAACATAAGTGAATATACCACAGACTGTATAGTAAAAAACAAGGTAGAGAAAAATATTTCATTTTGTCAACTGGATTCTATTGTAATTGAATCAGCCTGAGTGGACTTTTGACAAGAAAAGGGAAATATTTTGAGTTTTAGTTAAAAACTGTGATTTCCTATAGTGTAAAGAATTTTTGTACATACATTTGACTTGTTTGAATATATTATTTAAGAACAAGTGGATTGTGTGCTGTCTGTTTATTGTTCCAATTTATCGCCAACAAGTCACAGACACTTACTGTAAAAGAATCCAAGCCCATATTACTTAAAGCCCTGACAGAGCAAAAAATTCAAACATATATTTTATTGTAAACAAACTTACTGTGCTGGTAGGAAGAACAAGTAGGCTCATAACATTCATCCCCTTCCTCAACAGTTAAATCAGCATGTTGTAAAAAGTGACTGCTGAAGTTCCCACACAAATCGACTTTTTCCATAGCAGCCAAAAAGTTTTCCATTTGATGATCATGCTTGTGTAATTCTTTTTTCCCTATGGCACCCTGGGCTGCTTCCTCTTCATGATCTGATGTGTCAGGCCCTTTCACAATGTTTGCCCTTGCAGCATCTTGAAAGTAAACAGTGTATTTTTTTTTTTGTATTTCCATTTCATTTTTTCATACTATATTTCAAAGTATCAGTTTCAGATAAAACTGTAAACTGTAGATGGAAGGTACACAAATTTAAGGAAGATGAAAACTACAATTTGCATGTGGTTTTAATATGCTTTTAATGTTATTTTGTTAAATTTTACATTGAAATTAAAAAACTACTATATAATTAAATGAACAGAAATGCTTAAAAGAAAAACATCTATATTAATTTTAATGATAAAATTACTGTTTTATTCATGAAAAGATAAAATCAGACTTGCATACACTAACACTGTGTGCAAGAGTAGGGGTCAAAGTGTGCATGCCACAGAATGCCATTCAATAGGGTATCATGTAGTTGATGCCAGTAAATTAACTAATTCATTTTACTGTACATTACTAATGTAGTAGCAGACAGTGGCAGAAGAAAATAAATATCAATATCAGATACAAGATACAGAGATACTGAAAGTTATAACTGTCCTTAACTGAAAATGTATTTCCAACAGATACTTACCTCTACTCACATAATAGCTTTTCTTGTTCAGTGCTGTCCTCTATATGCACAATCTTTTTGCTCGCCACTAGCATTGATACACCTACCCCATGTGTTTAATGTGGTACAGCTGCAATATAGCATGCAAATAAGCATGCAACAACCCTCCAACAATAGAAGTATGACACACTCTCCTGGCACAGTTGGCTCTCTCTATACTGTAGTACCCAATCTTAACCTCGAGATTAGGCAAAACAAAAGTACCAAAAGTGGGGAAGAAGGGTGGGAACTGTGAGAGAAGGTATCTATCATAAATACATTTTCAGTTTAGGAAAATTATAGCTTCCAATACTATACCTTACTTCCACTCACATAATAGCTAGAATCACACACTGAACTGATTGATGGCCCAGTGCAAAATTTACCAAAATGAGCACCCTTTGGAGAGCAGCTGAAGAGAGCTCATGGAGTGTGACATCTTTCTGTAGAGGAACACAATCGTGGGAGACTGCACCACATATAAACCAGGTATACTCTTTGCCTCCAGGTTCACCACCCCAGCAGCTAGGAGCTGGTAAGTAGCAAAGACTTCTATATTCAACTCAAAGGGGGGGGGCAATGCAGTGGGGAGTTCAGAGGAACACAACCCTGGAGAAAGTGCAATGGGTGACCACAAAACCCTATTTTTTAAAGCAGGCCAGTACCAAATTATGCAATCAGGATTGGAGGCATGGGCAGCTATCCTGACACTGCTTTACTCATGATAGTCCATGAGTTGGTACAGTCTGGGACAGACATAGTTATGATGCAAAACACTGTGAAGATGAAACTACTAGCAGTCTTGGGGAACACCCCATCTCAACAGTGGTCATTACAGACTGGAAAGGTCATACAATGCAGATTTATGGATTAGTGTGCCTGGGCAAGCACCATTCGCAACAGAGTGGGATCTAGCATGTGAATTAGTGAATCTGAAAGAGAAATAGAAAAATAAACCTACCCACTCACAGTTGAACCGAGGTGTGGACAAGCTGGCAAATCCATCCTGTAAGGGTGGAAGGGGAAATATCACAGTGAAAAGAAGGGTTTCAACAGGTAAACAAACAGGAACCATGGAAAGAAGCCTTGTGGGCAATATAAAGTCGGGAAGCTCAAACAGGATAAAGAAGATGATCCAGACTCATTGGAAGGGAATACAAATGGGAAATGGAAGGTAGGGAAATAGGACTGTATGTTACATCACCTTCACAAGCCATTAACATCTTAGGAAAAAGACTGTGATCTGGATACATGGCAATATAGGTATGATGATAAAGGACATAATAGGTCGAGGGTGGAAACATCTGACCTATGATGACTACAAGTAAAAAGGAGCAAAAAATAGATTTTATGAGACAAACAGTACAGGGAACAGGTGGCCAAGGGTTTCAAAGGAGATTGGGTAAGGACACAGAGAACAACAGTGAGGTCCTAATCAGGAAGGTGTAGGATGAAGGAGGCAAAAGAAATAAAACAAAACAGAGAGAAAAACACTCATGGGAATGTGAGAAATGGAAGGTATTGGACAAGGTGGCTCTATAGCCAACAACGGTAGATACAGCAAAACAATTGTTGAACAGGCAGGTAAAAAAATTCAGAAAAATGAGGAACAGTAGGACAGGAAGGGGCATAATCATGGCACAGAGAAAACTGGTGAAAACATGCCATTTTCTTTGATACACCAATAAGAATGGGTAGAATGGGAAAGAAAGCTACCCATATGGAGAAACAAGACCACCTAGCAAGGGATTGGGCAAATGCGTTGCGTGAAGCCAAAATATGGTGACATTGGAATGATACACTGGTAATGGAGGCTGTCGAGGTAGGGAGGAGAATAGCAGTAGTTGTAATGGAGGTATTGACTGAAGGTAGGTAAGAACTGGAAACTAAAGTTGAGCAGGACAAAAAGGTGCAAAGAGAAGGACCTGACACAGGGTGGACTGGTTAACAGATAAAATTTGGGGAAGAAGACGGATAGGTGGATAGGCATAAAGGTAAAGGTGGGACCAATCTTGACTGAAGCCATCTTCTGCTAAAGCTAAAGGATGTGGGACTGGAAACTAAAAAAAAAGGGGGGTAGTTTGGTACCATACTAGTCGTACAACCACCAAAACACCTGAAGATTGAGGGGCCACTTCATGGGGGGAACCTTGTTGGGATGAGACAATTGATCTGCAATAAGATTAAAACCTTCTGGAACATGACACTCCAACGTGGAACACATAAGGGAAGGAGCACATATCCTTCAACAACCTCGCAGGAGAGGAGTGGAGAACCTCAGACATGAGATGGATGGATGTAGAACTATCTCAAGAGGATGAAGAGGGACAAGCTGAGGTGAGTAAATTGGGCTTGGGTAAATCTCACAGAGGTATCAGGATCAGAATGCCATAGCTGGATCAAAGACTCTAAGGTTTGAAAGTCAAGAAACAGAAAATTCAAACAATGGTACACCAAAGCATAATTATCAGAGGTATAAGGGGTACAAGGCATGCTGACTCCAAAATGTAACTGTGCTACAAACTGGTCAGCATAAATCCCAATATCTGGTAAAGGAAAGAAAACCAGGTAATCAGAGACAGAATGTAAAAGGGAAGGAGAAGAGTCATATGACTCAGGAGTCACAGACAAAAGGTAACATACCTGTGACATCATATCCAGAAAGACTGAAGATAGTCTGGTGGCATTCACAAGGGGAAAATGACAGGATTGCACAGCAAAAGAAGAAAGTGAAAAGATGCTATTCAACTCTTCATTTTCTTGTACAGGTTCACCAGAAAAAGGAATATCTGGTCTGGGATCAGGAGACACTACAGGCCACTTAATAAGACTTTTATTCAAGACATACTAAAACTGAGACCTTCTCAGCTTAAAATGTGGAGTCTGAAGCCTGAGAAACTACAAGTTGAGGTACATTAGCAGCGAGTTAAAATGTGAAATTCATAATTCAACTGAGAGTGGAGAACAAAATTAACAACTGACAGTAATTCATGTTTAACTGCAGAGAAAATAAAGGCAGAAACAACAATGTTGCTGAAGAAATTGAAAAGTGAAATTTCAACATGTCTTCACACTACTGTGCCAAATTGAGAAGTGAAGATTGGGTTCTAAAGTACAGAGGGATGCCAGGAAGGTGTGTCACACTCCTATTGGTGGAGGGTTGTTGCATGCTACAGTACCACTGTACCACATTAAACACTTGGGACAGGTGGAAGTATCGAGGTTAGTGGTGGGCAAAAAAGTTGTGCATATAGAGGGCAGTACTGAATGAAAAAAAGCTATTATATGAGAAGAGGTAAGGTGTCATAAAAAAAAACTGTAGATATGCATTTTAAAGAAAAATCAGAAAAATGAAAATGATCAAATTTGACCTGAAATTCATGAAAATAAAATTCAAAAACCAAATATCTATACAGTTTCATATATACCAATGGCACTACTGACTAAACAATTAAACACTAGCAAAGAATTTATTCCATAAATTGTGAATTTGAAGTTTTTACAGGTTTTAGAGTATTATCAAAACAAAGTAATATACAGCATGACTTTTAAAAACACGAACATGGCAGCAGCTAGTACTCTTAAAAGCTTCTAGGCAAAAACTACTGAAACTATATGAACACTACAAATGTAACATGCTCATATTGAATCTATCTAAACCTAAAAAATTATCTTAGACCGAACACGAGGCAACAAAATTTTTAAAATTATGTGTGGCTATGTTACCCAAAACATAATCCAATACATTTATCATTATCAAACAACACATAATTCTTTCCCAGCATTATCACTATTCAAGCCTTAATTCAACTATCAGCAACTGGCAACAACCTATTAATTCTGTTAACTTGCTTCTTTCTTAGCTTTTAATTGACATAAGTAACTGCATACACCTAAAGGGTACATTCAATTAAAATCATTAAGCTTGATCTCTCACTCCTTTATTTTATTTTTCATCTATGCGTTAGTATAAAAGAGCAAAACTTATGCCATGTTAGTAACTTATGAAGCTAGTGATGATTTAACAAAAGTCACATACACTCACATTTCCATGCTCAATTCCATAAAGTAAATTACAAATGATTTACAAATAAAATGCATATAAAATAAACACATGTCAAAAGATTAAAAATTCACGTTTTAATTAACAGAAAAACTAAAAAAGAAAAAAATCCAAGTAAAATTATTAATAACCATTATTAGGCTCTCCTTGTAAAATTAATGCACCAGTGTTCCATATAAGGGATGAACCATCCCAATTCCCAATTGAAAAACAGCCACTTATACCCCCAAAAATATTTAGGACTTGTTTTACAGCCCTGGAAAAAAAAAGGCAATACAACTCCTGTCAATTCCACAGTATTACAGAAGAAAGTGTATATTTTCTCTGTGACTGCCATAAATTTCTACTGATACACTCAAGAATGACTGATTAATGCC